CGTGGGAGGCAAGCGCGATAACCGTTAGGCTACGGCCTCTCTGCCTACTTGGCGCGCGGCAATATCTAATCACGAAGACTTTTTCTATCGTCTCTCTGCCATAAAGCGATGACAAAATCCGACAACAAAGATTTGCAAAGGATTTTGCCTTGCTAACAGACGATTGAATGGCTTCGGGGGTTCAGTGGCTCTCTACGAGGGAGTCCACGGAGTGTGCAGCCAAGACGAGGACGAAGGAGGGCAGGACGCAAACGATGCACAACTTCCAACTGATTTTTATTGAAACGCGTTGAGGTACTTATAGTCAAACTTAGTCACAAAACAACACAAAGAACCATCACGGAGCATGTTCAGGGTACAGCATTATCTTGCTCCCAGGTAAGCAAGTTCATTTTCAGATAGAGCTATTGCAGGCTTAGCGATACACGTTTCGCCTAAGTAATTTTTAGCTTCTACAATTTCACGTGTTATGATAGCCTCGCCTCTTTTGATTCTAATGCATCCACAAATAGTGGACCACAACCGCATGCCCTGCAGTGCATGTCAAGAAACCCATTGCTGTGTTTTTGCATATTGCTACAGCGCTCGGGAACCCATCATTTAGACATCGCCCCGTCTGCCCGACGTACTGCACGCCACGAGACAGCGAATTTCCATATACCATGAAATGCGTGGCAGACGAGAATTTTTGTTCAATGCTTCTTTTCGCATCCGTGTTTGGCAGCCACGTCAAGTTTTGTTAGTTTCCACAATTTCATGAGCGTATTGGGCGCGGAAAACACTACCTTTACACTTGATTGTAAAGCCATTTTCTTCGAATTGTGCGACGCTCTGTGAATATACGATATAACAAAAACTTTTTCTTTCCGTATCGCCTGCTGGCTTCCATTGTTTTCCTTTGAGACAGTGATTTCCTAGAAGAACTGCAGCGACCGCAACAAGATGTGCTTGAAGTACCCAGCTGCAGCAAACTGCATTGCGTGCTGCTTAAAACCAGCAAAGGTCAAATGCTCAATGGAATGTTTGAATGCATTCTTAAGACAGAGGCTAACAACACTTATTTTGATCAGCTTAGAGTTGGCTGAATGAAGAGCATGCAGCGGCTTATGCGCACGCGGAAGTGATCGTCAAGATATAAAAACCTGAAGTAAAGAAAATGTATAGTGTTTTCTACCGCCATCTCATCCGTGGCGTCGAGCGTGCAGAGGCATTACTTAAAAGTGGTCATGGTTTTCGCAGTCTCTGCTTCAAAAGCGTGTGTATCGGAACGAGTACAAATTATGAAATCACCTACGTATCTGAATCTTCCTTTACTTGGAACCCTTAAAATCGGCTGCTAAGAGTGCTATCAAGTTGTGCTAAAATATATCGCTGAGGACTGGGGCGATGCACTACCCGATACATATGCCCTATTTTGGCAAGTAATGCTTGCCATCATAGTGAATCAAGGTTTCCAAAGATAACAAACCGAGGACTTCTAAAGAGCCACTTCTAGGAATCCCCGATTTATTTTCAAAGGCTACAACTCAATGCATTGTCATGTTTGGCATAGTGGCCTTTCATGTATATGTCGGGGATTTTTAGCAGTGGTTTTTCATAAGTACCCAAATATATTGTATAATTGTGTTTTTAAGACTCCTTGCTCTTTTAAGCAACCGAAAAATGGTGACCCGGACGCACGGTGTAAGATACATTTAGGTAATGTCTCTCTGCCCGACACTGGGATCACATTATGTTCGGCGCACAGAGCGCTTCACTCGCACAGGGAGAAATGGCGCCCAATTATGGAATCCCTCCCAAAGAGACCGCTCCGGTTGTTGCTTCCAGCAGTGGTCCCCCCCCCCTCCCCACCCCCCTCCCCCCCCCCCCCCCCGCCCCAGTCCCTCGCTTACCACTTTTTGTTTACTTCACCGCCGCCACGCCTCCACCAAGTCGCCAGAGTGCGTAAAACTGTGTTCTCTTTCTTCTTCTTCTTTGGGTTAAGGCTCACCTTCAGGCGCGATGGTGGTACCTCTGATCGACACTGCACCAAAGCAAAACGCAAGGCCAGCCACAAGCCGCGCACGACCACCACCCTATGAAAAAGGCGAGCACTCTCCGCCGCCGACACCGTGGGCCCCGAGCAGGGACCTCATACCCACGATGCTCATACCCCAGCGCCCTCCGCGGGGGCGCGGAATTGACTACTCCTGGTACGAGGCTAGCAGCAAACACGATCGGGTCACTCCTTCTTCACGGGAAGAGCGGCGAGAGTCATCGCTTAAATGTATTTCTTCCACCGTGCCCGGGCGTGGTTTGAACACGCCAGCTTCTCGAGATCGTACATTTTTATATACGATCTTCAGAACCTCTCGGAAGATGCAACCGCAAGAACGAACTAACTTGGACAGAACCAGCCACTGCACAATTATCGGCCATCAAAAAGGCACTCTCGACAGCAATGCTGTTCACTCACTCTGACATTTATCATGGCTGACGCATCCGAGACCGCAGCAGGTGAAGTTCTACTAGAGTTAGAAGACGACCAAGGGGTGTTCAGCGTCGTTCCTTTGAAAACTATATTCGCCAGCAGAAACAAGCTACAGAAGATTCCGTGGAGAGCTACTTGGACTGTTTCTCGCTGTAAAACACTTCTGTCGTTTCCTGGCAGGTAGACAATTTTGTATTTGGACGAATTACAAGCTTTTTGAGATACGCGTTTGCATCTAACAATTTCAACCATACCTTACGAGACTTACGTCATATTTCCTTCGTGTCCGAAGTAACAACAAACAAACAATTCGTATCGGGCAAAGACAACCCCGTCGCCGTTGCGTTAGCTCGTATACACATTAACAAGTCCTCTTCAACTCGAAGAGTAGACTTTGCAGTGCTCACTCGAGCCAAACAGGCGAACTGTGCACATCTAAAACATCCCTTACCCTTTAAGACGTCAACGTTCCTGACAGCAACAGAACGATCGGTTGCGACGTTTTTACGGGCACCACGGCGACCATACATCTCTACGGAAATCCCACACACTATGCTTCACGCACTGCACACGCTGCCAGAGGCTTGTACACGCGCTCCCCAGCGTTTAGTCACATTACGCTGTTTGTGGCCTGGCATCAACGCAGGTGTGAGGCGTCGGTCGCAATTGTGCCCTCGGTGTAAAAAATTGAAAGTTCATCAAAACGCGATCACACCTCGTGGCATTTTTCCTGAACCTGACACTCGCTTTAGCTATGCACATCAGGACGTTGTGGGACCATAACCATCATCGCAGGGTTTCCAGCAGTGGCGTAGCCAGGAATTTTTTACGGGGGGAGGTCCAGTGAGCGTAAAGGACGCCGGAGACGCCGTGTCTGTACCACTGCTTTCTCAAGGGTGGTGGATGTTCATTCCGCGCGTTCGTGGTTTTCGCTAAGCGTGCTGCGGACAGTGTGTGTGTGTGTCTTTCTGGTGCACCTGCTCGGTTTTATTTGTTGGACTACCGCACATCCAGGAATTTACGCGGCGACATTGGGACTACTTTGAGAGAGATTTTTTGCTGCGAAGAACTCAGTTGTTCCTATTTGGTCTGATGGCTTTTGTCTTCAGCTGTGCAAATTGTTTCACTTGTATCGACCCTGTGAAATTAAGACATTGATCTTTCAGGCCTATATGAACTAGCCATGTTTTAATTTGTTAGCGAATAATCCAGCATTTGTTAAACATACACCACCCACAATTCACAGGCTTCTTCCTTTATGCCTTCCGTTGGCGTACGAAAAAAAACACGGTAAGTTCCGCTTAATTGTGGCAAATCAAGTGATTTCCGGTAAATTCTTGCTTTACTGGAAGAGAAGAGAGCCCATAATTCAGTAAAATAATTTTTTACTGGAAATGAAATTCCAGTAAAAATCTTTTTCAATAGGCAGTTATGACATTATACAATTATTCTTAGACAGAAAAATTCAACACGCGTGAATCATGACGAATATGAACTCGGGCCTATTCACATAAAGCAGAAATCTAATGAGGATGATGGGACATGTATTGGTAATACGGAATACAAGTCACACAAAGAGTTAAGCGCAATACATATGAGAAAGCAAAATACTTTTAACGCCGTGCTGAATCAACCTGAAACTGGGGTAGAGAAAACGCATCGAAACGTACGTTTTGATTTTTCTTAACCCGGTCTCCTTGAGACTGTGATAGAGAAGACACAGCAAAACCTTGAATAGACAGAAAATTTGAGACATCGTCCTGTCTATTTTCTGTCTCGTGTACGTTTTTCTGTTTGTCCTCAGCCCTTCACCTGCCCCGCCTGCACGCTTACGGTATTTTCCCTTTTAACGCAGTTACACACATATGAAAGAGTGAACTCAGAAGTGTGATGCCGGTGGTGACAATGCGCAATACATATTGGTCTCAACTTTCAGTGGGAATCGACACAGATTCAGAGTGTTTGGTGAGCGTCGCGACGCCACTACTTTGCATGCTCTTATTGTTGCGCCAGTCACCCCGGGTCTGCTGAAAACGGGCCGCTGTCCCGGTGTTTCTGAAAGGACCGCGGCCAGCCGTGTGCAGGTGAGAATGCCTCCGCCAGCCGGATGTGGTCAGCGGACCGTGTTTTGAAAACCCCTGAATTAAACTGTTATACCAAAGAAGTCGTGGGGATCCGTCAACTTTGCGTTCAAAGCAATTTCTAAACCCCTCTGACATCTCAATGCCGAAACGTTTGGTGTGGGTATCAAAATTGCACAATACATATTCAAAGGTGACTTTCAATTGTTTAGAAGTGGGTGGTAACATCGGAATCTGAAACCGTATTTTCGCTGCATCGAAACAACTTCATAGTTCAAATGACATCACACAAGCGCTTTGTATTTGAAGATGAAGGCGGAAAATCTTACATCAGCATAAGGCCATTTACGTCATATGTAAGCGTATTTAACACGGACACGCAGCACTTGTGTTTTTCCCAGTTCGGAATCAAAAATCAACCTAGGAGGTCCTTGCCGATATTGGGAGGAATGAATTCACTCTTTCTCATATTCGTATACACCCTTGCCTTGCTATACGGTAAGTGAGGAAAACGCCATTAATTAGTAAAGTGATATCCGTTTACTAATCAAGCAGAAAGCATTGGCGACAAAACATATATTTCTGACTCAAGTCTTACCTTTGCGCTAAGTCTCTCTCAGCATGTGCGTAGAGATCGCGCATATGTCTTTTATTTCTTGAATACATAACCGAATGCGCAGTCACTCAGTTAGAACTAAGCTTAGAATTTCTCACGTTGGTGCTTGTCGGGGGGCGTCTATTCACATTAACTTGTTCAAAAAGTTAGTCGCGATTAAAGCTTGATCAAATGTCTATCTTTGTTTCTCTTCATTGTACCCTACAAAAAGTTGTCTTGAAACTTAGCTGAGTGATATTGATCTCTACAACAATATATTTTGAGAAATGCTCGAAAAAAAAATAAAGCAATACAAGTCTATAAGCGTGTGTGAGAAAACTCCTGCAAAACAGGAGTTTTCTCACACACGCTGAGAAAACTCCTGCAGGCCGATTCTTGAATATGCCTCCGAGCTATGGGACCCTTACCAACAGTACCTCATCAACGACAGAAAGTATTCAGAATAGGTCTGCCAGGTTCGTTCTTAACTCCTATAATTGGCGTCAAAGCGTGACTGCCTTAAAAGAGGAACTCAAGCGGGAGCTTCTCCAAACTCGCCGTAAATGCCTTCGGTTAAAACTACTACACGCGATTCATTACGAACTCTCTGGAATTGATAAAGGAACATACTTACTTGAACCACATTTCATTTCCCAAAGACGTGATCACTCGAGGAAAATTAGACCTTTCTCATCCAAAACTGACATTTTTAAACATTCTTTCTTCCCGAGCACTATTCAGAGCTGGAATGAATTACTGGAGGAATTAGTGTTAGAGAAAAACAACTCAAACATTTTTCAAGCTCTGCTTGGCCTTTAGCACTCAATGTATGTTGTCTTCGTTATGTGTTATTCCTAGTTACGTGTATATTGGTGCAACAATGAGCGCGTTTCTCTGCGTTACATTTTCGCAGGGCTGGTTTCATGTTGTTCTATGCCTTGCTGCAGGCTGCGAGTGCTTTTACTTAATATTCTGTGACGCCCTTTGTTTTTCTTCTTTTTGCCCCTCCCCCACTATAATGCCTTCACGGGCGCTGTGGGGTACATGTAATAAATAAAAGTAATAAATAGACAATTGCATTTCGAAATGGACAGTCAGTGATTAAAAATGATAATGAACTTCCCTGTTTGTTTTACCAGTAAAACAACACCCCTGACAGGCTCCAATACAAACTGACGTGCCTAGGGTTATCTAGTTGCCTTTTGCCACCCTCTGCAATTATTTAGACTTGAAATAAACTTATATTTTTAATAGAACTATAACAGCGCTGTAAATATCCCTGTGTTTTAAATTAAGCCTCATCAGCATTTATCTTCACTGAAGAGTGCCGGGATTTGGTATACCAATATAAAAACATCAGTTTTACGTTTAGCCTGGAATATTGTTTTGCACGAAATAGCAGACTATTAGTTTATGCATAAAAATTTAGGCTTGGTATTCTTGGTACACGTGATAACTAGGAATGGACGTTTCTTCAATACAGAAGATTGTTCGTTGTTTCGCTCTTTCATGTCCAAGTCTAGAATTCACTTCCGTGGTGCTAGGACTAAAACATTCCTCACTCCCGTGGAGAATATGGTTTGCTAGTCAGTAAGGCTCATGGCTTTGCGTTGCCTTCTGTCTGTTCGTACACAACTGCAGTGAGCATGGTGAGTGTATATTGAAGGTGACGCGATAATCATTCGATTCAACTGTTGGTTAGACTACATTGGTCAGAGGTGAATGCTAAGATATCAACCGTTAGATTCTCTCTTAACTATCTGTCGTTACCCCTTAATAATAGTCCTTCTTACCCATATCAGTATGTTAAAACCTCACCCGTTGCACCTGCCGAACCAAAAAAACGCGACACGGAAGAAATTACTTCCTCGTTATTTATTGCGCAGATGTAATGTACTCATGAGGAATTCAGAAATAAGTGTTTGGAGAATCTGTTCCTTCCCGGTACCGCCTTGACGAGTGTTGCGTGTCTAGCGGGCGGCTACACGTACTATCGAAAATCCGATAAATACTCTGATGCTTTTTATTATAGAATTGGCCAAATTAATTAGGGGGTACTATGAGAAAAAAGGTCGTACTATTCAATAACTTTTGGTTAGTTACTCTTGTCGCATATGCTACTAACTTCTTACCAACTACAGCGTGTAGCAGGCGTGCTCTTAACAGTTAATACTTAAAAATGTATTAAAGGAAACTAGTCTCATTAGCAAGACTATGAAAAAACCACTACGTTGGTTCAGACTGAATGATAACTGCTGTAAAATATCTTAGTTCCCACCTAAGGAGAAGCTAGAAGGTGCTAGCTATAGCCCAATTCAAAGGTCCCAAATATTATTTGCATTGCTCGCGCGGATATAATTGCACCGTCTACACTTTATATTGCACAAACATTACGCACGCCATAAATCGGCTGAACTCACTACACACAGGGATCACGTAAACAAACGCAGCACGCGAAAACACGTACACGGTCCCACGCTACACCGATCACTTGCTGCGTCGTTTGCTATTTTTACTTTTATACCGGCCTTTCTCAAAGCACGCCTTTTCTCCGGTGACAAACTTACCAACAAATAATTTACAAACAACCTGTCCTTTTGTCGCTAATATCGTTTCTCGACATTGAATATTAATCGAATAAGGGATTAATCTCTTAGTTAACATGCCATTCACGCTGTAAATCGTTGCTCCAGTCGATATTACTACCTGCTCCTCTGAGTTTCACAGCCCATGTTTCCGCCTCTGTGTATATTTGTGAGTATAGTGACTTATTGGGGATTCAAGTATTGGATAAATATGGCGGTCTAAAACAGATCGTGCAGTACCATGTGCAAGCTCAGCGCGCCACGGTGCGGCATCATCAAGCAACCATTTTTCTAAAAATGGCCCCGTATGTTATCTCAACGTTACGAACCTCCAGCAATGTGGTGGCGTAACCGAGTTTTCAGGGGCTTGATTTTTTTAGAAAAAGCAAAGACGAGATAAGAGATGGCCAAATTACTTTAGTAAATACGTTTCCGAAACTGCAAAAAATAAATAAATTACATCACACATTACCGCAGACTAAAAGTAATTACATTGCAATTACTTCAGAGTAATAAAATTACATTGACATTTATTTTCAATGCATCTAGTCAGTCCTTCGTGCTCATTTTATTTACAGTATATGTACCAAAACTCAGGTCTTCCTGTTTACACCACAAAAACCCGATGCACCACGAACCGAACGACACTGAACGGTCGTTCTGATGACGGACCCGACATGAGCGTTAAACAATATGAAGTGCGAGTGCGAGTGCGCCACTAGGGCTGAGAACGTCACGCTTAATACTTAGAGAAAATACCATTGACCACCAATACTGGAAACTCGAGCCAAATACATGGGGTTGTCGGGAGGCACAGAAGTGCTGCCATCTCTCGGTGTGGGATGGTAAACTATGAGCTCGAAATTAAAAGCATGACAGTCATTCACTGCACTATCTTTTCTCGTCACACTATCAGGAATTGTGAATATACGGCAAATCGGTCTGCCGATTTCAATTGAGCAAGTGCTGATACACGTAATTTCTAATAATCGGCGCGCTTCATATTAGCACTAAGTATTTATATTATATAGACCTATGTATTACACCTGGTACGAATGACCTACTGGCAATTAATGACTTTCTAGTAAATTGACAGTTTATGGACCACTCTAAAGGTTATAGTTGTTACTAGCTGTAGTGACTGGTTCTTTACAGTTGGAAATAAAGCACAGCAGTTTAAATATTTAATTGCTCCATAGGTCATTATTTTAAATTATATGAGATGCACTTCCAATGAGGCTGGAAATGCTACACGACGTAGTAATTACAGCCAGTAAATGCTGCACTGGCTGTTTAACGAAGAGTCAGTATTTATAAGAAAGTAGAAATAGTGTCCGGTTCAGTATTACCTGCCGTTTTGGGGGCCTGGTTAGCCTCTAATGACTGCAATCACTATTGAATTGTACTTCTGAGTTATTTGGACAAGTATAAACTAGATTGCCTTACAAGGGCTAATTAAAGTTTACGACGACCGTGGACGATGCTGAACGGATGCGGCGAGCGGCATCTTTTGCCGGAAGGCCTACGCCAGCATCGGGAGTGGTGCCCAAGACCGCATGGAACAAGGGTGGAGCCGCCACGTCAGCCATCCCTTGGCAGACGACATTGTGGGCGACATCTCAGCACAGGATGACGGTGACAGGCACAATGCTGGTCAGGCAGCTGCAGCGTTGGACGACGACGGCTTCACACTCGTGAAGCGAAAACGGCGCGCTCTGGCGTCATCCGGAACTGCAAAGTCTGATAAGGTACTTGCCGTGGCTCGCCACACAAAGGCTCTCTTCATATCGAGATTGGACCCAAAAACATCAGTTGCAGACATCGAAAACCTTACAGCCCCTTTCTTGGACAGCAAAATTGCTAGTGTCACGAAGTTGCAGACGAAATTCGAATCATATTCTTCGTTTCAGCTCGCAGGGTACTTCTCAGTTTTTGAAATCTTGAACAAAGCAGAAGTGTGGCAAGAGGGTCCAATCTTCCACCAGTTTTTCGGCAAACTAGACCGCTCGAGAGTACATGGGTCTGAATCTTCATCTTCACCAGCTGTAAATGCTTAAAACACTTGAAATGTATTATCTAAACACCCGGGGCCTCCGTTCTAAGGCCGTTGAGTTTATGTTTAATATTTTGTTAAGCCTATCTGAGATCATATGCCCAACTGAGACCTGGCTTTGTCCCGGCATTTCTATAAATCGCTATTTTCCTCCAACTTTACGGTGTTTCGCAAAGACAGAGATTATGCTAACACGGGCATGAAAGTCGGGAGTTGTGTACTGATTGCTGTAAATTCTTTAGTTCAGTGCCACAGAAGGAAAGAT